CCTGTATATCATACTTTTCGCTGTTTAATGCTTAGTTTGGACAAAATTTTATCTTTACCTAATTTGTGGTCAGAGAAGATTATTCAGTAAGTCACTATTGTTTGTGTGATCCACTAGACCAGGCCAAGAAGTAATTAAATATCATGATAGAATTATTTTTGTCAATAAAATGTTTAAGACAAAGTGCAAGTTTGCATTGAGAACATTTTAAAAAAACAAGTTTGTTACAGTTTTTGATCAAGCAGTCAGCCATTCATGTATAAAAAGTTGGGTCCAGCACATTTTCAAAGAGGTCAATGGGTTATCTATGTCAACCAGATCTTTTCTATGCATACTGAATCATATTCTTAAACCATGGTGATCAAAAGTGGTTATGAACATACGAATGCATTTGCATGATGAATCTTCAGTCATTCAGCTTTAGTAGCTCATTTTTGTCAGGTTTTGATCTAACCTGCTGTTTGATCCTCTGAATTATTGACTTGTACTGGCAAAAGAAGTATACATCAAGTGTCTGAACATGTTTAGTATCTTTGGGCACTTCTAGCAGGTCACACAAACATCTGTAAGGTTAGTGGCTTACTGAATCATCTTTCCCAATTTCAAATTAGGTAAGAATGAAGTTTCAAGCCCAATTCAACATTCATTTGGAAGGGTTTCCTTGTTAGAAGCACCTAATTTTAAGCTTATGAAATTTTTTTAGAGATATTTATTATTTGAGAGTTGCAAATAAACAAATGTGATGACAATAAGTTTTACAATTACAATATGATTTTTAATTTTTTAAAATTGTCCAATCAATTTTGTCTTTTCTTCTATTAAAAAATAGTCCATTATCATTGCTATCATAATTTTAACTGTAAATCATTATTTGATTTCATTCAATAAGAAATTTATGACTTAGTAAAAATCTAAACATATTTCAGAAAATAAAGGCTTGCTTTCTGAAATATGTTTGGATTTGCTTGGTCTATGCAGAGAAATGCAAAGAACAAACAATATTTTTAATGAATAGTTTTTAAATTATTTGTTCTTGTTTGTTTTTATTGAACTGAATCTATAATATAATAATTTTTTTAAAATATAAAGATTAATAACATATAAATAAAATTAAAATATAGCTGTACATTATAAATTATATGAAATATTTTTTTATTTTAATTTTGTTTTTAGTGAACGTCATTTCCGGCAGGTGGGAAGTATTCGATCTTGAAACGTTTCTGTATTTCTGCCAGAAAGCAAGATGGCAGAGTATATTGAATATGTTAACCATTGCAAAAAGAAATTAGAGAGAGGAGGCGACGATGAAAAAGTAAATTTCAAAAAATACCCTACATTATTTAATTAAAACGTACTTTCAAATTTATAATTATCCTGTTTTTTAAAAAGAAAATTATTATTAAATTTCCAATTAAAATACCTTTTGAGATTGTTCACCGATACAAATTTTTTTTCAATATAAATATCATAAATTAACTCGAATAAAGAAAAATATGAGTAAATTGAACAAATTGAAATCAAAGCTCATTTCAGAACATGTGCATGAGGTTCATATAAATATTTTGTTTTTGATACTTAATACCTTAACAGGTTATTAAGAAAATAAGTTATTTATTGTTAAAGAAATAAGGTTATGGTTTAGAATTTTATATTGAGAACAAAATAATTGTTAAAATGTAGTTAATAAGAACTTTGATTGAATTTAGTCTCACAAATTACAGATTTCAGTGAAATACTTATATGAAGCAATATTGAATATTTAGGTTAAATTTTTACTTGATTTTTTAATGCTGTTTTAAAGATAGATGCAAAATTACAGGGTTTATTTAATTGGTATCAATAATTTAAAAATGGTTTTAACATATTATTGATACTTAATGTAATAGTAATTGATATATTCTTAAATATTTTAAAATTATTTTCAATAATTATTATTATTATTTATTAAAGAGAAATGTATTTAATTTTGAATATATATATTTTTAATTAGAACTAGGAAAACACTAATCCAGTATTTGAGTACTGCAAATATACAGTTGAATCTGTCTCAAACATGTTTTTCTCGGAAACTTCTTTATCTCAAAATTTATTTTTTCCCTAGCATTTTCAGCCTAATTTCGATATATTTTCCATGTTTATCTCAAATAATTTTCTCCTAAAATCTCAAATTATGTCTCAAATTAGGAACTGATGTGTTAATTATAGTTTGAAAGCTCAGTGACTACACTTTCAAAGCATTAACTGTAGTTGAGAAACATTTCTTGCAAACAATACATAATTGCAATTAATGCTGCTTTTTTCTGATCTGCTATGAGTTTGGCTTGCATCTTATTGTTTGAAGAAAGTCTGGCATCTGAAACTATTGACAAACTATTTTTGTTGAGGTATATCAAAAATATTTTATTTATACCTAATACAAGTGTATACTGTACATGCTATTATATTAATAAAATACTGAACCTCCAATCAAATCTATTACTGTTACCTCTGTATTTTGAAACCTGTCTATTAAGTTTTTTCCTCATTCCCATGATTTGAGATAGATTCAACTGTCTATAGATAACTTAAATTCAGTTTCATGCAATGAATGCTTCTAAGAGACAAGCATCCCAATAGCATAGTCTTGTGTGAAATGATATTCGTTTGCTTGCTTAGCTGCTTTCTATTTACAAGGAAGCTGTTTAATGCTTAGTTTGGACAAAATTTTATCTTTACCTAATTTGTGGTCAGAGATTATTATTCAGTAAGTCACTATTGTTTGTGTGATCCACTAGACCAGGCCAAGAAGTAATTAAATATCATGATAGAATTATTTTTGTCAATAAAATGTTTAAGACAAAGTGCAAGTTTGCATTGAGAACATTTTAAAAAAACAAGTTTGTTACAGTTTTTGATCAAGCAGTCAGCCATTCATGTATAAAAAGTTGGGTCCAGCACATTTTCAAAGAGGTCAATGGGTTATCTATGTCAACCAGATCTTTTCTATGCATACTGAATCATATTCTTAAACCATGGTGATCAAAAGTGGTTATAAACATACGAATGCATTTGCATGATGAATCTTCAGTCATTCAGCTTTAGTAGCTCATTTTTGTCAGGTTTTGATCTAACCTGCTGTTTGATCCTCTGAATTATTGACTTGTACTGGCAAAAGAAGTATACATCAAGTGTCTGAACATGTTTAGTATCTTTGGGCACTTCTAGCAGGTCACACAAACATCTGTAAGGTTAGTGGCTTACTGAATCATCTTTCCCAATTTCAAATTAGGTAAGAATGAAGTTTCAAGCCCAATTCAACATTCATTTGGAAGGGTTTCCTTGTTAGAAGCACCTAATTTTAAGCTTATGAAATTTTTTTAGAGATATTTATTATTTGAGAGTTGCAAATAAACAAATGTGATGACAATAAGTTTTACAATTACAATATGATTTTTAATTTTTTAAAATTGTCCAATCAATTTTGTCTTTTCTTCTATTAAAAAATAGTCCATTATCATTGCTATCATAATTTTAACTGTAAATCATTATTTGATTTCATTCAATAAGAAATTTATGACTTAGTAAAAATCTAAACATATTTCAGAAAATAAAGGCTTGCTTTCTGAAATATGTTTGGATTTGCTTGGTCTATGCAGAGAAATGCAAAGAACAAACAATATTTTTAATGAATAGTTTTTAAATTATTTGTTCTTGTTTGTTTTTATTGAACTGAATCTATAATAAACTATATATTTGAAACAAAAAACAATCTTTTTAGTTCCAGAAAACACATTTAATGTTTTCAATATATTTCAACAATCCTACCTCAAACCACACAATCAATAAAATAAATCCTACATTTAAGGGCATACCCAGGGAGGGGCAGCTGCTCCTCCATAGAAGAAAAATTAAAGTGTAATAATTGACACACAGACACAGAGCACAGATGTATCAATTTAGTATCAGTTTGAATAATGAATATTGTGACTAGACTAGAGCCATCTGTTGTGAAATCTCAGTCCCCCCCACTTCCTCAAAACTAATATGAGTTGCCCCCTCTAGTTCAGATCCTGGTATATTGTTGCTACATTCTAAACATTTATACTTAAGGGATCATTAAGTTTAAATGTTTAGAATGTATGATTTATTTTATTTGATTGTGTGGTTTGAGGTAGGATTGCTTAAAAATAGGCATTAAATACACCCAAAAACAGTATCTGAAGTTAAATAATTGCTGAAGAATTAAGGTGTGAAATTATTACATTTTACACACATTTTTAAGGCAGTTGTTTAGATTGTTTCTAAATAACATTAATAAAGCTTTAATCAAGTTTACTTTTTACAAATACAGTATAATCTCATTTTAGTGGATTGTGGAGAAGCAGATTTTTTTCCCAGTTTCTGCCAAATCAATGAAATTTTACTTCCTTTTAGCAGATTTGTAACTCAGAATAACAGATTTTTTTCTAGTCCCATTGTAAACTTTGTGTTTTTTCAACATTTAGTTAATATTTAGGTGTTTTTGAGAATTTGTGGAGTTTGATGATACACTTGTTACATCTTGGATATGTATAATTAAAGAATTGTATGAAGAGAGTCAGCAGGCTGATACAATTGAGGAGGAGCCACCTAATGAACATTGGTGCTGGCTCAAGTGTAGCAAAAGTTAGCAAGGCCATTGAATCTTTCCAAGTTGTGAAGACCTTTCTGATGAGTTTCAGCATAAATGACAGGCTGTACATGACATTGCTAATATCAAGTGGTATTCAAAACACAGAAAAGCGGCATCAAAACAAACCAACATGAATGAGATTTTTAATAAATTGTGAAACCAAGTGAAGTGTTAACAAGCATACATACTTTGCCTCTTTTTTGTGTGTACAGCATATACAGTTTTTTCTTATACATATATGGCATAATATGTAATCCTATAACATGTGCTTCTATAGACTAAAGAATAGAGATCTCTAGAGACTGAATAACTTCAAGTACAGGTATTACTTATATGTAGGTGTACATATTATATAAGTACCTGTACTTGAAGTTATTCAGTCTCTTGAGATCTCTATTCTTTAGTCTATAGAAACACATATGTTACAAGATTACATAATACAGTATATATATTTAATATATTTGATAAATATACACTCATTGCCATAAAAAATTAGTGTACCAAGAAGTTGTTATTGTATGCTATGAAACTTGGCATGCAGATAAGTCTCAAGCAGATATGGAGATGATCAGAGTTATAGTGTGATGGAAGAAAACTTTATTGATAATTAACTCAACAATGATTACAGTTCAGTCTTTAAGTAATCACAATCAATATCAATTACATCTTGCCACTTTTGCTGAATAACTGGAGTTTTTCTTTGAAGAAAATATTGAGCATCATTCTCATATAGATATTGTCATCGCACTGTATATTGGCAATATGGTTCTGCAGTTTGTGAAATAGATGGTAATCAATATGTAACGGCTGAAAGATGGATGAGGAAGAACCTCACAGCCCTGATTGGTCAGCTTCTCTGAAATCATCTTTGTTCTATGTGCTGGTACATTGTAATAAACTCCCAACAACCTTTAAATAGCCAGTAAAATATTTAAAAGTACTACAAACGTTTTCAACTGTTATTTCCGGTCTTCTTCAGATTAAAAGTTCTGAGATTCAAATCCATTGAAAACATTTGTAGTACTTTTAAATATTTTACTGGTTATTTAAAGGTTGTTGGGAGTTTATTATATATGTTACCAGTACTTATTAACGAGTGTTGTTAACCTATATACCTGGTACATTGTCTTGATGGTATCAAACTTTGTCAACTTTTGGGCTGTTTGGGAACACTCAAGTTGTGCAAATACTCTGGTGTTCAACCATAAATTATTGTTTATTAGTTGCAGGAGAATGTCATCATCAGTGGTGGAATCACTACCTGGATATGGGGTTCATCATAAAGTGAGAAATCTTCATCCTTGAATCTCTTGAATCAGTTGTAGCAGGTCTGCCTGTTGACTGTCCTTGCCAAATGCTTTGAAGATGAAATCATGAGCCTTCATTGCATTGTGGCCATTTTTGAAGTGATAGAGCAATAGCAGTAAATGTTTTTTCGAAGATTTCATATTAGACATTGCTGATGCATCTGTTTCCAATGAAATATGTGAAATGCCCCCTGTTACTCTACTTATATAATCACATCGAGCATTCTTGAACATTTTTTCCAGTTGTTTCTGAAAAAAATTTGAATTGTCTAAATTTCATCTTTAAAACCTGATACAACAAGGGTGATTTGAAATTTTCAGCCTGACTTACAGATGATGGCAGTGTGTCAAATA